AGCGCAGCTCTTAGGGGCCCGTTTCCAGCCTGAGCGGCGTCGCCGTCGCCGTCGCCGTCGCCGTCGCCGTCGCCGTCGGCGTAACCGCGCGTTGCATGCAACTCAGAGGAGATGCAACAGGTTGCATGCAACCTGACATGCAGCAGGTTGCATGCAACCTGAGATGCAGCAGCTCATAGGAGATGCAACAGGTTGCATGCAGCCTGAGATGCAGCAACTCAGAGGAGATGTAACAGGTTGCATGCAACCTGAGATGCAGCAACTCGATGAAGATGCAACAGGTTGCATGCAACCTGAGATGCAGCAACTCAGTGGAAATGCAACAGGTTGCATGCAACAGGTCACGTGACTCCCCAGGTCACGTGACCCCCCGGTCACGTGACCCTGAGGGGGTCACGTGACCACTCCGAGGTCACGTGACCCCCTCCCCCGAGGTCACGTGACCCCCCCCCCCCCGATGGCGTCATCGTCACTGATAACGTCACCGGCATCCGCATCGCCATCGTCATCATCGCTGATAGCGTCATCAGTGACGTCACTTATGACGTCACCGGCATCCGCATCGTCATCGTCATCATCACTGATGACGTCATCGGTATCCGCATCGTCATCGTCACATGAGTGACGTCACTGATGACGTCATCAGTGACGTCACTGATGACGTCATTGGCATCGTCACGTGGCCCCCCAAGGTCACGTGACCCACCCACCCCCCTTACCCTTCCCTCCCCCTCCTCAAGAGCTGCGCTCAAATTCGGCGTTACAGGGAGTTGTAAACGGCTTTCACTTTTTTTTTTTTTTTTTCACTGGACATATCCGCGTTCTCGGACGAACCGAGCGCATGAAAACTGACCTTCAAACCTTTCCCGACTCTCTTAAAACAGCCCCAGTCGCAGCATTTTGACGAGAAGGCAAATTTTTGTCTGGTTCCTTTCAAAACAACGCAGGAATACACGTCTCAAATGGGCACTTCCGCCCACAGCCCCGGACCGGAAGTGCGTCCGACGCGCCACCACCGCGCCGTGACGTAACAGAGATGAGTTCGTGTATACATTTATGGGGAGGTCCACATATAAGGTTTCAGAAATCCTTTCATATTATTATTTAGCACCCTCTTCTACACCCTTCTCACACCCTCCACTAAATGGAGGGTGTAACACGAAACAACACCCCTCTCGGTACAATAATGTGGGTGCAGTAGCTGATTTAAGGGTGCTAAAGGGGTGTAGTCAAGGGTGTAAATTACCAAAACACCCCTTTTACACCCTTAAAGGTGTAAAAACTTTTAGTGTGTATGCCGCCAGTGTTGATCATAGCCACGCGCTGGGGTTGGCAAAGCGCAGGACACGCGCTGAGTTCCAGACATTGTTATGGCTCGGCTGTTGTCGTCGTTGCAGCGATTGGACACGGGTCACAACCCGAATGCTTCTCGAGCTAGCAATTGTCACGAGCCCAAGTCGAGTGCCCACGCAATGCTCGGGTCCAATCTATGAACCGCATTCAAATACCGTCACTTGGGTGTACTGCGATCCCCGAGTTACGTCATCAAATTTTACAAAGGAGAGATTGAATGAAAATGATCGCTTTTAGCCTTGAGATTATACCGCAACAAAGGAGTTTCTTGGCCAATGGCGTTGCGTGTGAGTATCCTTGAGTCCCAGGTGTGCCAGTAAGCTCGTGTAGAGAGAAAAACATTCCAATTGAATATCGTTGCACAGCTCCTTTAAGCACCCCTGTGATACCAATATTAGTTATAAAAAGCAGCATTATGGATCATGGGGCGGTCCAGCTAAGCGAGATGCGCCTGTCGCTGCATGTGGACGCGATTGCAGAGCAAGTCATTCCTGCGCCGATGATTCGCTCGTACACACAAGATGAATACAAACGACTCCATTAAAAAAAAAAAAAAAAAACAGCAGTTGCGTGTAGGGAGATTGGTGGACGATCAGTGAAGAAAAAAACAACACTGCCAGCGACCTTTAACTTTAATGTCGTATAATGCTTAAGTTTAAGTATTTAAAAATATCACAGTAGAAGAGACGCTGCATTTCCAATGGCAACGTTTCGGTCCTTATTTTTAGCAACCACTGAACCTATTGGCGTCAAAGTGGTTGTATCCAAAAGACACAATGAAAAAAAAATCTTTACTATTTGAGGAATATAATTTTTAGATTTTGCCTTCATTTATTTTTCGCGGGCCTCGAATTTAAGGAAAGAGACAATTTCTTTAACTTCCACTTTCTAGCGTCCCAGCAATTAAATTAAAGACTAAATACAAGTTTCTGTGCAAGATCTATATGTCTATTTATATCTGCTAATGTATTTCCTCGGTGCACTGTGGTTAAGAAATTAATTAAGGAAGCTTTCGCTTCAATGAAATCAAAAATTCATCCGCTAAACACCATTCTTTGGGCTCTACGCAGTGGCGATATCGCGTGATCGTGCTCGCTACCTCCACTTGGCTGTGATGACTGAGTTCGTACAGCGCTGTATTACTCTGTCACGAGCAACTCCACACGTGTGGTGGTGAAATTCACTCATATACAAAAGTTCATATTATATGCATCTTCTAGATGTGTCCTTTTCTACTTCTGGTTACAGGCTGCGCACGTTCTGGGGTTTCCACTCTGTCTCACAAATATCTACAGTGCTGACAAATTCACGGACGCAAGCTCGTGGACTGGAAAAGTGCCTTCTACACGCGAAGTCCCGTACAAACGAAACCACTTACTATGTGGATACAAACAAATACCAACATACAGACAACAAAACCTCTCAAGGTGATTGGCTCACCACTGTCGGTTGCAATGGTAATCGCCATTTTAGAGTCTTTCAAAGCTTCGAAAGGGTCCTTAAAACCAGTCGCACAAAGATCGCTATGGAGCATCATCGTACTGAGAGCGTTCCTTGGCCAATATGAGTGTCTTTGGCCACTGTGCATGCAAGAAACTTATCACCCCTGCTTATTTCCCCAGATCTCTTACAATTATGTTGCTCTTCTTGCGTGTTTTAAGGCAGTAAAATTATTTACCGACGCCGCTTGTGATGTCGTACATTTTCGTACCGCCATTACACGCAATGTCCGAGAGTGAGAGAGTCGGGGACGGTGACGTTCTTGCGGTGGCGCTGTGCTGAACACTATATGTCCCTTTTTGAGCCTCTTTGCATAGCACTCACAGTACGAAAAGATGACCCTTTTTCTCAATATTTTTATTCTCTCCTATTCCCCATTTTCATCATATTCCCTAATCCACTAGGTAGTGACTCGCCCCATCAACGGAGGTTCACAATCTGCTGGTGTTCACCTTTCCCGTCACCCCAGAAATAAACAAACAAAACAAACAACAACCTAGAAAGACTGGCTAGTCTCCCGTTCGGACGTCATTTCCACGCAGCGAGGTGACCGCGTCGTGGATGAAATTGCAGGGAGCGCTGCGCGCAATGGGCGTGCTGTTGTGGCTGCTTTCCGCACTCACTACCTTCTTCAGTTTCAACAACCTTAATGAGAAAAGCATTGCTCACTTCTCTGCCTTCTTAGGAAGGACAGATTTACCTTTGTTTAGCTGTTAGGTGCTTGCAGTGGCAATAATGACAAGCATACTCAAGTTCTTCATCCTCTTCCGTTGTCGTCTTTACACCAAAGCAATGAACAACCAGAGGGCAGCAAGGCGAGAGCGGCTAACCTTTCCAAAGGGGAGAAGTTGTAAATAATTTATCTGTGAAGAGCTCATTTGCTCGTGTCGGTCATATTTTCTAAAGTTTTTATTTTTGTGGCTTGGTAACTGCCAAATTCCAGCACGCCGATAGAGTGCCCACGCCGATTACTCGCAGCGCCGCCACGCGCTTTCATTCCGGAGCAGTCATCGAGAGGGCCAGTGGACGAAAGACTAGCCAGTCTTTCTAGGGACCATAGTTTGACCTAGTTATTGTAACATTTTGCGACAAGATAACAAATAGGCGCGCTGGCGTAATCTATGAGGTGATCGTGCAGCTGCGTTTTACTTAAGCAAAAGGTTTTCGGTTATTCGCGAGATTAAATGACCATTCCTCATGAATTGGTCATTTACAGCACTGTAAAACGTTTTTCGAGCTAAGAAAAAAATTATGCGCAAAAAACGAGAAGATATAAAAAGAGCTGCAAGCGTTCCATGGCTACCATACATGGATGGCGCCAGTATGTCCCCTCGTAGTCAAAAATTTTATGAACTTACAAGGCACATGGCGAAAGGAAGTCTCAAGCGTGTGAATGACTCAGCCTTTAGCTCAGCCCCAAAGGGCGTCTGGTATCGTCGCCGAAGATGAGAAGTTTAAAACGGAATCTTGGGCGTGTTGGTAAGGCATGATTATTGAAAACATACAGCGAAAAAGACGGGACGCAAAAAAAGAGACAAACAACCGCTGAACTTACAACTGAAGTTTTAGTCGTCAAGACGCAGCCTATATACACGATCAAACGAAGGAAACACACAAAGCCAATAGCACCTCACTGAAACCCGCACAATCATCGTGCATGCTGTCGTCGCGAATGAAAATCGCATTCTTCAGCCGACAAAAGAGCTGACGGGACGCTGACACACTCTTCTCCCAAGCGCGCTATAGATTATAGAGCCAGAGGCTATAGAGCGCTTGGGGGAAGAGTGTGTCAGCGCCCGTCAGTTCTTTTGTCAGCTACAGAATTAGTTTTTATTTCACCACGAGAGCATGTGCAATCACTGTGGGGGTTTCAGTGGGGTTATTGGCTTTGTGTGTTTCCTTTGTTCGATCCTGTACATAGGTTGTGCCTTGACGATTAAAACTTGAGTTGTAGGTTCAGCGGTTGTTTGTCTCCTTTCTTCCGTCCTGTCTTTTTCGCTGTATATACGTTTTAAATGGGAAGTTTAGCCAGCGCAGTACACGACGTACGGCTAGCTGATACTGATTGACGACCGCACGCCGGTGCGACGCTCATCCAGATAGAATCGGGCTTCTGAGTACGAGCTTATCAAATGACAGATTCACACTCACTTGGTGAGAAAGAGGACTACGTCAGCATCGGCGTGAGGTGTTCCACCCTTCAACAGACCCCCCGTCGACATTAGAAGGCTGGCTCTCGTTACAGGAACCGTTGGTGGATGCTCTTGCTGTATAAGGTTCTCAATAAAATAAGGTGCCTGTAAAGACATAGGGCGCATGCAAAAAAAAAAAGACGTCAAATTTTTGTGAGGAAAAAAGGGCGCCAGTGATTGTAATGAATGACCGATGAAATTTCTCACGCTATATACGCCAGTCAGCCTCATGTTAATTCCTGGGTACTCCAGTGCCTTAAGTCGAAGGGCAACCTGTAAACAAATAAAACATGCCTCGGTCATTTTGATGAGCCCGGGAAGAATAATGCGTGGTGCATGTATTCTGCGTGCATTATGATTTGCTATGCTTGGCTGCGGTGAGCTCTGGGCGTTTTCAGATGCGCTGTGCACGAGACAAACTCTCGCGTTCTCCGTGTTCTTCCGTATGATACAAACAAGTTCAAATTTCTTCAGTAGTGTAGTGTGTCACGAACATGTCTTAATAACCAGAAGCTTTAATGATTGCGTGTGGGGCCTTGAATTTAGTGTTCTTAAACTGCCCCGAATGGAAGAATAGTAGGTAGACATCAAGGCAGCTTGCTTTGAGGTCTGCCACCCATGCTTCAACTAGAGCCAATCAGAGCTAGTTCTGACGTCACCACAACCCCTGCAAAGAGAAGCAGACGAACTTGCGCTTCGGATACTCCGTTTCACATCAAGTCCTACCGCAGCCGATCGTACGATTCAATGGAGCTAATCAAAAAGTGACAAAAGTGCCATCGTCACGGCACTCATCACCGTTGAGCGTTTGGCATCACCGACCAAACCAATCGCGCACGATGAACGCGCCATACGCGTGATTGCTTTGGTTGCTGATCTCGAACGCACAAAGACGGCGATTGCAGTGACGCTGCAGTTTCCGCCTAGCTTGATTGGCTCCATCTGATACTATAGCGTCGGTGGCGGTCAGACTTTGTGTGAAACGGACTGCGGAATCGATATCAGGATGCTCAAGCGATGGCGTTTTTTTCTGTCATGGACTAGCCTTCACACTTCTCTGAGTGGACCAAAATGCCTTTCCCACGATTTCAGACAAAGCTTTAAATGACTGGCAACAATAATTTTTATCACCAGGGTAGCTCAATGTGTTTCTGGTCTAAAGCGCAACTAATTTCGCGACTCCTCGCGAAGCCCACTCCTACGGAGGCGTTTTGGTATCTGAAATATATCTTTAAAACTCTGAAGATCCGCCGTTTCAACACTCTAAAAAAAGCCTGTGCGTCTGCTTTCCCGCACAACACTCGGGGAGCCAATCAACGCAACTTACGGAGGGAGCTCAGCGAATGACAATGCCGAAACATATGATTAGACTAAAAAACGCAGTGTGAGTTGTGACATTCAGCAATGTATACGTCACGTTTTGCATTGCTTAATGTCACAACTCAGAGTGTGTTTTTTGGTCTAAACATATGTTTCGCCATTGCCATTCGCTGAGCTGCCTCTGTAAGTTGCGGTGATTGGCTCTCTGAGGGTTGTGCGTAAAAGTAGACGCACAAACTTTTTTTAGAGCGTAGGCTGGGATCGTACAAGCGTCTAACCAAAATCAAGTATAAGTTAGTTATTTTTGAAAGGCGGAAAATAAAACCAATCAACAAAACACTCACAGATTGGCCGTACAGGATCAGGTACGTCAGTGGGTCCTCCCTGACTGGGCTGGCAAATATCGTGTTCAGGAGGTCAGCTCCGGCCACAATAATAGCCTGCATAGTCACATCTGAAGAAAAAAAAAATTAACGTGTGAGCAGTCCTTTGTTTTCTGTTAACCACACGACGGGCAGGTTCGTCGACTTCTTGCGCAACTCGCGCGTCTGTTTTCCAGTCGAATTCACCCACGTGCTTTTGTTTCTTCATCTCCTCAACCATCCTTAACCAATTACAGCTCACTTGGCTGCTATGTTGTTTCTTTGATTGGCGGGCCCCTCCTACGAAGTGAGAAGCGTGAGCGCAATTAGCCAAGTAATACGTTGGATTGTTCATGGATAGACATAATGAAAAACAGCGTAGAATAGACGGAAGAATACTTGTCCCTCTCCCGTGTGTTTCTCCTTGACCCGTCTATTTGGCGTTGTGTTGATTGTTATTAAGTCCTTAATCCTCAGCTAAAAAGCGAAATTAGAAATCACGCGGTTGTGACGTGCTTGAGGTGCATGTATTCCCGAAGTTCATTGCAGATGTGCGAGGTGTCAAGTGCAGTCTGAGCCACGTCCTCTCTGACAAACGTGGCTGTCGCTCCGCATGGTTGACCGAGGCCCAACCTTTTCTTCTTGTATATGATAGTGGGGAGTTGATATGTTTTATAACCGGTGATCTCGGGTTGGATCATGTCCACTTCTTGCAAGATGATGAATCCAAGCTTCCACCCTGTTTTTTTAGCATACTATAGAACTTGTCATTCTCAAGTCATGATAAGTGACGTCACGGTACTCATTGGCCACGAACGCCAACTCAAATATTCGTGGACTGATTTATTGTTGACGGGCGCATACGTCCGAGTTACGCAGGGCTCGCGTCGAGTGTGTGAGCTGGTTTCGGCTGACGTGCTTCTTTACCGCGGATGCATCACAGTGAAAAGACGAAGAGCTTTTGAAAAAAATAAGGTACGAAATAGTAAAATAGATTTGCAAAGTTTCGTACCGAGACGCAGGCTTTAGGTTTTCCACGCTCGTGCACTAGTTCTATTTTGGCGCACTAAACAATATGCGATTATTGAAATCCCAATTTATCCGATCCGAAAATTAATTTAATGGTCCCTTTAAGCTGAAACAAAGTATACGCGGTGAGAAGCTCGCAAGGGGCGCTTCTGCTTTCCTCACTACAGAGCCGTTTACACTTACACAATTTGGCCAATGGGCGAAGCTTGTTGCCCGCTAGAACCAGCGAATTTCGCGATAACACAAAATCACGTTACTTCTTTGTCCTTTTAATTCCTGAGAAATCGCATAGAGTTAATATGAGCCAGAGCCACAACATGGCGGACGGAAGTAGTCACCCCCGGTTGTCAGACTGGATCTGGATCTGGATCTGTTCGTTATTCCCTTCCTAACAGGCGGAAACTGCAGTATGTGTCCTAGCCATTTATTGTCCTTAGGAATGACAAACTGGCGGTCCCCCGCAGGATTTTCTTCTCCGATTCCCCAGTCGCTGCTTTGTTGGCGCGATCACGTTCGCTCCTTCCCCCCTGCTGCCGCGCCAGCCGCGCCCCCTGCATCACTCGCTCCCATGTCTCCCTCTTGCGGTTGGCCAACGAAACCAAGAGCCCGTTCCAGTGTCACTTCACTTGGTTGAAGCGGCCGTAGCATTGGGTTGGGTTGTGTGTATGTTTATACAGCCTAGAACTTGGTCTGCCTCACAGGGGCGAGAGTCTCCCAGCTGTAGATGAGCAATTTAGCCAGTGCAGTACAAACGCTAGCCTGGGGTCTTTAACGTGCACCACGCAGTAGTGATACACGACCGCACGCCGGTACGATGCTCATCCAGATCGAAACGGGCAGGGGTGGGGCTCGAACCCAGGATCCCTGGGTTCTGCAGCGCGAGCTTTCACTCCACGTGCTCCGAGCTGGTGTGTGCTAGCCCACTCGGCCACCGCTCCCCCCAATGGCCGTCCGTAGCATCCTGCACCTCAGCACCAGGTGTTCCATAGTCTCCTCCTCTTCTCCACAGATGGCGCACATCATGCTCGCCTCGACTCTTCCACATTTTTTGTTTGAAAATGTCTTTAATAATAATAAAATAAAAGAAACATCAGGGCCAGGTCAGCTGGGCTTAAGCCGTCGGTGCTGTCCTGGGGTGGGGGATGGGGATTAAATGAAGTGAGTCAGGTGAGCCTCCTTAATGAACCGAAGGAGGGAGTCGGATAGTTCCTTTCGGTGCTTTGGTGAGCCGGATGGTCTGGTCCATTCCGCCAAGCTCTTGGGTCTTTGATCCGCGGGAATGGTCAGTAAAATTTCTTCTTTTTTCTCAAAAATGTTTATGCAGTCCCAGAAAACGTGATTTTCTGAGGCCACGACCTTGCATTGACGGCAAAGACTTTCGTCCATGTCGTCTGCGGGTTCTGAGTTCTCTTCGTTGTACCTTTTCAGTCGTTGCTTGTTCCAAGTGTACATTGCAGTACGTTTAGGTACCATGGCGGTTCCCGTGCGTAGTCGCCTGAGGCAGACCCTGTCCCATCGGGAGTAGGGTCCATCCGGTAAAGGGTACGAGTCCTGTTTTCTGAGTGCATGGAGCCTCTCTCGGCGCTCTCTCCGCTCATCGTCCTTGACGGCTGTAGGGTCCTGTCTTTCTGAGGAGCACGTGAGGCCACCATAGCCGGGATCAGAGGAGGGAGAAGAGAGCATGATCCGTGCTGCGGCATGTGCTGCCTCGTTCCCAGGAATGTTTTGGTGGCCTGGGATCCACCTCACACTAAGCTTTGTTTGTCGGTTCATGACGCTTGCTTTGATGGCCTTTGCAGTCTTCTTGGAAGTGGATGGGTTCCTGCATTCTTCGTATGCGGCCTTAGAGTCCGTGTAGACGAGGCATTCTTCTTGAGGGTCCGAGTGTTCAACTGCCATAAGAATAGCCTTGAGTTCGGCATCTCGAGAAGCAGTGGACTCGTTTAGATTTAAGAGGGCCAATTCCCCCTTGCTGCTAACTGTCGCCAAAGCTACGACGTCTTTGGAAACGGCAGCATCCGTGTAATCAACAATCTTTCCCGATTCTATCTCGGCTTTCGCGTGTTTCAGATGGCTCCTTGCCATAGTACATCTTCTATTTTCTTGTTCTTTGCCCATATTTTGAGGGACGGGCTTTGTCTCTGTAATGAAGGTGTCTTGCCATGGCGGGGATGCAGTCTCGTACAGGTAGGTGGCGTATTGATATTCTAGCTTGTTGAGAATCTGTCTTCCTGCCGGTGTCTTCTGTAGTCTCAATACTTGGCTTAGTTTGTCCTCGGCCGCAATCTCGCTCAGCCTGTTGATATCGGCGATTTCAATCAAATCTTCAAGTTTGGTACACTTAGGGAGACCAGTGATGAGCCTTCTGGCGTTGTTGTTCAAACGCTCTAGTCCGTCCTTCTGAGCCCTAGAGAGGCGAAGGTAGTTCCACCCGTACATCGTTTTTGAGACGAGCAGGGCACGTACAAGCCTTCGGAGGGTGTGTTCTTGTGCCCCCCATGATTTGCTTGTGACCTTGCTGATTGTTCCAATGGTGCTCTTCCATGTCCTTCTAATGTTATCGTACCATTTGGTCGCTCGGCCGTCTTCTTGGATAATCACGCCAAGAATTTTGACTTCCGGGACCCTTTGAATGGTTGATCCGTTTACTTCCAACCGCAATGAGCTGAATCTTTCTCTGTCCGTTTTGTTGGCTGCTATTACAAACTGTGTCTTTTCGGCAGATATTTCCATATTAATGTTCTCAAGAAAGCAGGCTATTGCGTTCAAACCGCCGTTTAGGTAGTGTTGCTGCAGTAAGATGGTTGGGGCGACGGACCACAATGTAATGTCATCTGCGTAGATAGTATAATTTAAGCATTCATGCTTCTCGAGTTCGAATGCAAGGTCCGCCATCACCATGTTGAAAAGCGTGGGAGATATCACTGCGCCTTGTGGTACGCCTCTGTTAAGGACAGTCGTCTTCCCTTCTGTTCTGCCGACTTGCACAAAAAATGTTCGCTCAGTTAGGAATGACCTGATGAACTGTAGGCATTTTCCCCTGACGCCTCTGTTGATGGCTCCTCGAATCACTGCCCAGTGAGGTACCGAGTCGAAGGCCTTTTTTACATCAATTGCCACGACTGTCTTTGGTCTACTAGAAGGTTGTTTAGACAGCACGTCTTTGTGAATGAGGGCTATGCTGTCCGTGGTGCTAAGGCCAGGTCTGAATCCGGTCTGAAATGGAGAGTAGGCGGGAGATTCGTTCTTGCCCTTGTCCTCCAGCATCCAGGTGATCCTAGCTAGCACCATCCTCTCCATAATCTTGCACATATTGGAGGTGAGGGATATTGGTCTTAAGTTTTGCAGAGAATCGAGCGGTTTTCCCGGCTTCGGGATGGGAATCACTGTTGAGTGTTTCCACTCTCTCGGGATTTCTCCGCTTTCCCAGACCTTGTTGAAGACTTCGAGCAGTTGTTCTTTTCCCTTCTCCGGAAGATTGCGCAAGGCGGCCACGGTGATCCGATCTGAGCCCGGCGTAGTGTTCCTTGCCTTCGCTAGTGCTTGGACTAGCTCACCCATGTTAAAGGGAGCGTCCATGGGTGTCGCTTCAGAATACTCTGGTTTGTCCTCTAGTGGCCGTTTGTTGTTGTCAGGGGGGAAGAACTGGGAGCCAGCGGTGTCCGCCAGTTCTTGCTCCGATATCCCCAGCCTGAGGGCGATGCTCTCCCCTGTCTTCTTTGCTTTTTTCTTATTGTTGAGACCCCTAAAAGTTCTCCACATTCTTTTTGATCCGGTCTTCTCGTTAAAACTGTGGCAGTGTCTCTGCCAGTTTTGTCTTTTTAGCTGAATCGTGTACCTTTTCGCTTTTGCAGAGGCTGCAGTGAACTTAGCTCTCAGGACTTTGTTCTTCTTGTTCTTTCGATATCGTTGTTGCGCTTGTAGCCTGCTGGCCCATAGGTTAAGGAGGTGAATGTCCGGATCCGGGGCCTCTTCCTTGACGTTGTAACTTTTCGTTGAAGCTCTGAGTGCTGCGCAGATCCTGCTTTCGATGCTCTGTCCTTGGTCTTCTCTTTCGAAGGCC